TGGACTTCAACTCCCAGAGGTCTCCAGCCAGAAGAGCTAGCTGGAGAATTCTGGGAGTTGAAGTCCACAAGTCTTAAAGTTGCCAAGTTTGGGAACCACTGCCTAAGAACAAAAATATCCCTAATTATCCAGTATTTTAACCAGTTCTTTACACCAGCAATCCAGTGGTTCATTTTGTTCTTGTACCTGTACTACCTGGCCATTTTAGATGTCTTTTCCTTCAATTTTTCAGTTAGCTCGAATGCCTCATTTGGAGAAATGGAATGGTTCTCAAAGCTGCTATTTGAAGTTCTGGACTTAGCGTGATTACATACGAGTATTCGTTTGAACTCTCTATTTTTCAGACGTTCTCCAATCCATATCTCTAAAAATAACAGCCTACAAAATGTATTCATTCATAGTTACAGTAATTTTAGAACATTTCGGGAACAACTTAAGCTCTGTAATTTTTATTATAGTGACTCTACAATGTGGTTCTGTGCAATGCATACGGTTTCCTAAAATCCAGGTTTTAGCCAGCTTCTCTGAATCATTTCATATGCTACCTTTTTCTGTAAGCATAGCAATAACAGGGGAGGTAAAATGAGAAATATAATAGCTGTTAGAAATGAATAAAATATGAACTGACAGAAATATTTCCAATTGTTTGTTTCTCTGCAGACAAAAAGGAAGTAAAGGTGGGAGAATATAATGCTATACTTGATTCACTGGAAATCATCAACAATTCCATCAAATTCCATGGTAAGGCAGGATTATAGAAAGGGCACACGATTGGTGTATTTCTGTGTAAGGCTTAGATAATATGCAATGTAAGACAAATAGAGCTGTTTCAATAGTATTTGTGCGAAAAGTCCAATGATTGCCTTAAGAAATCTAGAGTGATTAAGAGATCAAGTTAAATGTTTATTGACATTAACTTTCTTAGGTTTCACCACAAAACCACGCTCAACTAAACCGCGCCCGACTAAACCACGTCGCTGACATCATCAACAGGGCAACAACAGCGCGGAGACAGAAGCACGCTGTAAACCCTAAACCTAAAATTAACCCCTAAACCTAAACCTAACCCTTAACCTAACCCTAAACCTAAACCTAAACCTAACCCTTAACCTAACCCTAAACCTAAA